GTCGCCGCACGTCGACATTTTTCTCTCTCCGTGATGTAATGTATTATATATACATACACTCACATATATATATATATATATATATATATACGTATATATTAATTGAAAATATATGTGTACATACCACTTCCCCTTTGTTTAAAAAATCGGCATAAGGCATTGAATAAATGCAATCACGATTCCGATTCTTCTTAATGTGTACATGTATATCTTTTTGATCAAAATGACTATCTAACAATCTAATTTGAAAATTAGGATCTAGTCCCTCATTTGTATCTTTCTTATATTTTCTTAATTTCATAATACACTTAGTTAAACATTTGCCTATTGGTGTTTTTTGCAGACCTACGTAACTACTTTTTCTGAATCCTTCAGCATCCTTTACATGTCTTATATCAGCTATTTGACCTATATTAAATTGGTGAATAATATCTTTCATAAAGCTTTTGATAAATTTCGTAGGTACTTTTTCTGTGACCAGTATATTCTGTATTTCTGGACTATACTCAAAGAATTTCATCTCGAACCATTGTCCGATTTCGACTCGATTATTTATATCCGAAGTTCGATTTAGCGAAGTCACATGAGTAATATTATGTATGAAACAGCGGAGACTGTTTGTTTGAAAGGGATGGCATGTTATTCGAGAAGATAAATTCGTAGATCTGACATACGGATTGTACTTTACAGTAACTTTGTTCATCTCAAACAAGTATTCTGGATCAAAATCTGATTCCTTTGAAACATTTGTGAAGATCCCTAAATAAACAGAAGAAGTAGTTAAATGTCAAAAGATCATAATCTATTGTTACAGAAATTAATTTTTGTAACTTAAAATTTATGATTATATCTTATCTATACTTTTTGATTAGTTGTAGAATTTTAATTTCTTCTACAAAAAAATATATAAATCACATATACTTATATCAAACATGTATGTAAACATTACATGTAGACAAATAATTTAAATATTTATGTAACATTCTTGAGGTTTCCACGGATGCTTTCTATAAAGATTACGCGTTTCCAGATCCATTCTTGGAATGCCAACGTTTCATGAACTTTGCAGTCTATTTCATCAGGGCGCCCTGGTGAAGTGGATTGCAAGATTCATGAAACGTTGGTATTCCAAGAATGGATATGGACACGGAGGAAACCTGCGAAATGTATAATCTTTAAATATTTATGTTTTCGATAGAAGTAGATTGTTTTTCAAAAAAAAAGATGGACTTAATAATTTCTTTTATTTAATTTTACATTTGTTATATATAATTCTTTAATTTAAATCTATATATTGTCGTATTATTACAACAAAAAATATAATGATTGCATTTGTTGAAAAATGTTACGTATAAGTTGATAAATATGATATTGAATATGTGAAATTGGATGTAAACATTTGTGTGTGTGTACTTTTGAACTTACCTAAAAAGTACGGAATCAAAATTGCATTTACTAGCATTTTAAACAATTCCAATATTTGTTATCCAGTATTACTCTTCTTTCGCTTACGAACTTCTTTACATTAGAACATGCTCACTATTTAACTTTCATTTAAATTATTTTATTTTCTCTTGTTATTGTAGATGTAATATGATTTGAATGTTTTTCATTCTTCATAACATAAACAATGTTCTGAATTTAAACAATATTTAAAATCTATTGTAAAAATATGTACAACGCTTTCCTATCAGCGCGTTTCTGACATTATATGTGTAAATTTCTATATATTGGATTTCTATTAAATTTTATATAAAAAGAAATATTTTTTAACACTAGATTTTACATGTTAATGTCATTAAAATATCTAACGTATAATATAATGCAGACAAAGATATCATATTATAAAAAATAGAATTTATTTAAATTTATAGTAAAGATATATCTTTATATTTCTTTAATTATATGATGTATTTTGATTATTTAATTACGTATATAATACGTATATTACGTATAAATTTGTAAAAAAATCGTGTAATTATTATTAATTACATAATTATATAATTGACACATTTAGTTCAATCATGTTAAAAAGATCTTATAGTTGTATTATAATCTAAACGCAATAATCTTTGTGTAACAAATGCATTTTCCACTTTTACGGATTTGGAAATCCTTTTCCAGGATTAAAGAATATGCATTAATACGTCCGTGAGGTGGAGTTTATATTGAGAACGAGAAAAATTGCTTAAATTGAGATTTTTTAAATTATTTTTTACTTCAATATAGCCTCAAAATTGATAATATCGTAACAACATTTGCTTGATATAAAAGCTTTACAATCTGTACTGACGAAATTGTAGTGCACAGACTAATAGTTTACATGATTAAATAACGTGGAGTTTTTAGAATTAGACTAAAACGTCTAATTAAAACGCTATTGTTCTACAAAAATTTATGTACATTTGTGCGTAAGATATTGGTGTAATAAAAGATGTAAAACAATATGTTAATATGTCGCATTTTATCGGAAAATTGTGATCTCGTTAGAGTTCGGGCTCATCACTTTATTCCTTAACAAATAATAGATTTTATAAAACTTTTTTTTAATAAAGTAATATAAATATAATAAATTTATTACATGTATAAATTTATTACTTCTTAATAATCTTTCTGTTATTATTAGGTGTTGGAATTAATTCGTAGCGTTTTTTAATGAAAGAATGTTATTTATTTCACATGAGCATTAAAAAATACATTAATGAAAGTACTTCCCATCACTTGTAAAACGCTACGAATTAATTCCAACACCTAATATAATTATTAATATTACTAATTAATAGAATTATTATTTAGTAGAATTACTATTTAGTAGAATTATTATTTAGTAGAATTTATTATAATTAATGCTAGATGTTATAAGACAAGTTACATCATCTTCAATAAACTTTGCATTCTTAATTATGCAATGTTATAACAAGTCAGAATTTACTTATATTAAATGTCGCAAAAAATATTACAATCTGTTATGGAGACAACATAAAGGAAATTATATTTTCACCAAGTGTTTATTTAAGAATATCTTTATAAAGTTTCCAATTTCAACTGCCTAGTAATAATAAATTTTAGAAATACAAAAAGATTTGATATACAAATAATTAAAAAAAGAATTCATAGACATCACATAAAACGTATGCTTTCGAAATATGATTTAGTTTTCAAACTCTTCGGATGGAGCATCAATAAATGTTATTGTTTTTTTAGGTCTAACATTAATCAGATTTAGTTGCGTTATTTGAGTAAATGTAGAGGTTTGATGAAACGATCTTTGATGAATTTTGTGGATTAAGTGGTCGTTGTCCATCCAGTGTGGTGAACATTCTTAATTTGTTATCGATCACTTCTATTGTATGAACATATTTAGTCTGCAAGGTTTATTATTAAAAAAAATTAAATTCAAATAGAGAAGTCAAAATGGTTAATTAACGTAAATATGTCAACATATTAATTTTCCGATAAAGAAATTGTTAAATCATTTGGACATAATAAACAAATTTATATTACATAATATATATATTATTTTGCTATTGCAGTATATGTTATATTTTTTTATAAGTACAAGATTCTGAGTCCTAATTTATGTTATATAAATTTCACAGTTAAAGAATTAATGAAATTGTTGAAGCAGTTAAGGAATTAAATTTATAGAAAATCATTAAAATTAACGTGCAGGAATTAATGTGCAGTAGATATCTAGTAAAAACAATAGGATCTAAAAAATATAAAGTATGTAAAGAAAAATATATATGTGTACACACCACTTTTCCGCCATTTAAATAATCATTAAATGTCTTGAATAATTGCAGTCTTTCCTATTCTTCACAATATGTAAATCTTTTAACGCTATATCCTTTTGATTAGAAAAATTCTTAAACAATTTAATTTGAAAATTCGAGCCTGTTTCCTGTTTTGCGTCTTCCTTCCAATATTTCATATTCATCTTGTATGTAATTGTGCAAAAGCCTATCGGTGTACTTTCTGTCTCAGTGGAACCCCAATGGTAAGGTTTGAACTGATGTATCAATATCCATGTTGAATTGATTAACATCATATATAATAAGATTCTTATTGACCATCTCCCCAGCCGAGTTCTGTGTTCACAGACATTACACCACGATCACCGAATTTCATATCGAATCAGTGTCCAACTTCGATTAGATTACTCGTCGTGATTCTATCATTAAAATTAGTATAGTTTGAAGTTATGATCATGACGTCATTCAAATAACAGCGAAGCTCTTCATTTGCCAAGGGTTGACATATTATTGTAGAAGTTAATTCCGTAGAATTGATAATTTCTCCGTATTCTGTCTTGGTTTGGTTCAACATATACAGATATTCCAGATCAAAATACGAATATTGTGAGATGTTTACGAAAATCCCTAAATAGTGAAACAAAAAGTTTAATTACATATCAAACTGTTGTTATTTATTATTGCAGAAATTAATCTTTGAAATTTATTTTCTAAAATTTATGATTACATGCTATCCACACTATTAGATTAGCAGTAAAATCTTAATTTCTTTTATAAAATATATATTAAGCACCGTGCGTAGATTAGTTGAAACATCTAAAAATGTACTAAAAAAAGATATGTTTACCATGCAGGTACATAATCATCAAAATACATATAGAAAGGTAAAATCTTCAGAAAAATCGAATTATAAGTGATTGCGATATTTGGATTTCATAATATTTTAATTTCTTTAGTTTTACATTTGTTATATATCTGTTTAATTTATACATAATATATTACTATAATAGAAATAGAGAACATAATGGTTATATTTTTTAAGAGATTTTATGCACAAATTGATAAATATAGTATTGAATATAGTTAAATGCGAACAGTTATTTTTTTAGCTTACCGAGTATGAACGGGATCAAGGTAACGTTCATCAACATGTTGTATGTATTATATTAATTTACTTCCAGGTACGTCCGTCCAATATTATTCTCCTTTCACTTATAAATTCCTTCACATCAGGACACGCTCATCATTTAAATTTGTATGTAAAGCTGGTTCTACATTAGTCGCAAATTGAACACAAGCGTGTTGCAATAGCCAATCTGGAGTACCAATTTTAAAATTGATGTTCCATTGGCTGTCAATGTTCCATCACAGATTGGCTGTCGCAATAAGCTAGGAATCGACTTGCGATTAATGTAAAACTTTAAAGGATACTTTTGACTTTTCTTGTTATTATAGATGTAATATGATCCAAGTGTTTATTTTTTTCATAAAATATAAGTAATATTTTGGAGACGATATTTACAAGTCGCAATTAGGATAGACTTATATCGGGCCTTTCATGTAACGACTCATCTAATAATGAAGTATATTGTGCAAACTTTTTATTAAATTTTACTTTATATAAAAGAAATATTTCAATAATCGAAAGATATTAATTGTATGTTGATATATTATGTTGTGGACATATGTAATCATATTGATAATTATATTATTGATTATTATATATGTATATATGTATGCACAAATATACATTTTATTATAAAAAGTAAAATTTATTTATATTCAGAATTATAAAATATATAGAATATAAAACTTTTAATTAATTATAGAATATTTATTAAATATACTTCTCGTTTGAATTTTTATGTTTTAAAACATTTTTCGTTATATTTGACTCTTAAGTGTCATGTACACTCTTGATATTGTTGTTCAAATTATTTCAATTGTATATGTTTTCCATTTAGTTATCTCAATAATTATATATAAATAAATATGTTTACAATTATTATTAATTAACTAATAATTTATTTAAGCGATGCTATTCATAAATAAATCCGTAAATTTGAGAGTCTGCTTTTTTACCTAGATAATATATTTTCTATACATATTGAGTGTGAAGTATGAAATCTCATCTGTACACTAGCGATCTCTCTTGGGATATTTTGAGAAACATATAGAATTCTAAGATAATGTAGTTATGTAAAAAACATAACTAAAAAACATGTAGTTAAATAAAAAAAAAATTATTTATAAAAACTATAAAAGTAATAAGGCTCAATAAATTAAAATAAACAGAAAGACAAAGGGCCTAAAGCGATTATCATAAAATAATAAAATTATTTTGAACAGTTAAAAAATAAAATAAAACATGTCATGAATTTAAAATATGAAATTTAATTTGACCGTTAACAAGTAAACAACACAAACGTTTCGATCCCTGTTGGATCATTTTCAATGTAACGTAAAAATAACAATGAAAATATTACATGGATAAGATATATAAAAATTAAAATTCGCTCTTGATCGCGGTATCAAATATAAATTTCGCTGCAAAATAAAATGAAAGTTATACGAAAGTTGTAATGGACAACAATGTATTCCTCCGGATTGTGTATGCAGAATAAGAACGAACATGTTTCTTTTTTTGTGTGTCAAAATGATATGTTATCTATTAGGCAATGCGCGATGAGATTGAATGTGATCATCTCTCTAAGATGCTAAGACAAAATGAGACAAGTTATTTTATTTTTTAACTGTTCAAAATAATTTTGTTATTTTATGATAATTGTTTTAGGCTCGTAGCCCTTTGTCTTTCTGTTTGTTTTTATTTATAAAATATTAAAACAACAATTAATTGCAATATTGATGCTTGTATAAAACTATTATTTAAACTAAACTAATTATAAAATTATATAATATTTAATGTATAATAATTAACGTTTAAAATAGTGTGAAATTAATGTTTGTTTTTTTAAATATATTTTTCATGCGTAAAAATTAATCTTTGCAATACCAAAAAAATAATAGTCTCGAACTGAATATACATTTCTGAATATTATTTTTTTTTTAATTAACCGAGTTAGTTTCTTTGCACGATAAAGGAATTGTAAATAATTGGTTTTAATCATGAATAAATAAATTAATTGATTAAACGTGATAAATACTTATTTCTCGAATATGTTTTTGTTAAAAAAAAAAAATAAATAAATAAAACAGGACTGAAAAAACAGATCTAAAATATTTCGAAGCAACGAGTTGAAACAGTTGACTGCAATATAAAAGAATTTGTAGCAATATTAACTTTCCACTGACATTAAAAGATCCATGTTTTTTTTTTACATAACGAGATCTCGCGAAACAACTTGGAGTAACATGCGTCAAAGTGTGCACTGGCAAGTACGAGTACATCCGGTCTTTGATGACCGCGCAACGACATGACACGTCGGCGCCTCGACTTCGAGAAGAAGAAAAGACTATGAAACGTATTTTACAATGTGTTCTTTATTTCCTATTTTTTGCATTTTGCCTCTTATTTTTTTTCCTCTTTGTGTCAGTTTTATTGACAATTATATTTCATGCTACGTGTTTCTTCTGAAGTTCGTTACCTTTTATTTTGAGCGACGGGAAATGAAAAATGAGATTAGAGGCAAAAAGACAAGATGTAAAAATAGCGAAAAGTAACAGGAAACAAAGAACACATTGTAAAATATATTTAAATCCTTGCACTTTGTCATAACGCGAAAGCGGAGGAGAATGAAGAAGTTGCGCATCTTGCGAAAAGGTAAGGGAAAAAAGGGGTCGTAGAAATTGCATCTCTCGACGATGACTGCATCTCTCGACGATGACTGTATTACTTGACGTCATTCGCTTACTCGTGCCTAGTCGGTCCAGGATGAATGTGTATTAATGCGATATACGTAAATATAAGCGTCGCGGAAACACGAAACGTACACAAATAAAGTGATGCTCACATCACTACGATCACTCAGTTCTATTCAGTTGCGAAATTTAAACGACATCGGCAAGAGGGAGGAAGAACTGTCCCGATTATTATTTTATTAACTGAACTGTCCATCGCTATAGATATTTTGGGGTTAAACGCATCACATTGTGATTGTGATATCGCAATATTGAACGAGAAAATGAATCAAACATTCATGGACTTATTCTCGAAAAATATTGTATACAAAAATATACGAAAATATTACAGTATATATTAAAAAAAAAGATTGTCATAGCAATTGGTTGCAGCAATCGATTTTTTTCTTTCATTGTATGTTACGTGTATTAGAGATTTCCTTAGTATTTTGTACGTAATATTTTTTGAAAATAAATTTAAGTCTCTGATCTTTGCGTCCTAATCCTCTTTGATAACTATGATCTTGTGATGAAACGCGAAGAATATCGCCATGCCTTGTAAGTTTGTGCTACAAAAACAAATTGTAAAAAAGCTTGAATGAAAATAGTAGTAAAAAAAAAAAATACACGGCGGAAATAAAAATACCGCCAGCGAAAGTTCCACTAAAATTCATCAAGCTGAACGTAAAACTTATCGAAATATCATTCACGGAATTTATTTTATTGGATTAATATATTCCTTTATTCCTTATCGAAATTGATTTAGATATATTTGAGTGCATGGAAGGAACAATTTTGCTAAGTTATCTAAAAATGTATATAAGATGTAGATCTGAAAATAATTTTATTGCATCATCAAAATAATTATGTAGGAAACTCAAACACGATGAGCAATGCTGCAAAAATTTTGACATTCTAGCAATTAGTTCGAACGTTTTACATAATTGACAGTCCGACAAAATTTATTTTCAAATCTGTATCTAATTAAATTTTTAGATATTTCTGCGAAACTATTCTTTCCGTGATATATGTTTAAGAATAAGTTTCAGGAACGCGGAGATACCAAGAACAGAAACTAGGTAAACGACACTTTGAAGATGCTCCCATTTCTGTTTTTGCTTCAACGCTTTCCACTTATGCCAACGCGACTTACGAGAATTATTGAATTACGAGTCGCCTGTAACTAGATCAGATAAAGAGCAAACGTTTGCATAATCTTTTCGCATTATTTCTGTGTGTTAGATTCATACCCAAAGTTACCGCGTGTCACGCATAGTGCACGAAACACAGTGTACAATCACACGATATATGTTATTTGATTACTTTAGGCGGCGGCATTATGTACTTCGCCATCGACGTAACATTCAGAGAAAGCGATTATTGGGCGAGGAAATAATTTCAGAAAAGGTAAGGAATTCCATAAATATAAGAAGCAGAAACAGCCGAAGAAAAGAGAGCCGGGTAGAGGTGGCCCAAAACTCAGCTCAGCAAGAGCCGTCTAAAGCGTGGCTGCTATATTGTCGCTGGGAAACGAAAATAGCTGCTGTTAGCCCCAGAAGTAAGCAAGTCATGGCGGCGAGGAGACGAGGAGGCGGCACGGGAATGGAGGACTAAGGTGGCATGGCAGCGCATGGTGCGCGACGAAGGTGCGACGAGGAGAAGCGACGATGAAGAGGATCATGTTGTATAGGATCTGGAATGAAGAACTCAGCCGTACAGACTTATTCTCCCTTACGTAACTTTTCTTCCTCTTCTTCTTCTTCTTCTCTTCTTCTTCTTGTTCTTCTTCTTCTTGTTCTTCTTCTTCTTCTTCTTCTTCAAGCTTTAAAGCTAGTCTCGAAATTCGCCATATGCTGCGCATTATGACTTCGCGCGAAAGAAATTAAAGATCAGATACAATAAAAATACATATCAATATATATATATGATAAAAAATTCGATGATTTGAAAATAAGATTCTTGAAGAAAATAAATAATATTTGCAAATTATTTGTAGATTCGTACTTGGGACGATTGAAACGCGAATATGTTTCTGCGGAGAAAGATCGAAAGACTTGATTAGACGCTTGAAAACATGCAAGAGGAAAAGTCTTAAAGAAATAAATATGATACATGAATAAAAACTGCTAATTTGAAAATATCAATTAAGCATTAATAACATATAACAATTTACGACAATTAATAATACGTTAATAGTATTTCCTCAAGTCAGATTCTAAGCTGTTTAATTATTGCAGATAGAATCGATTAATTTACTTTAGCTAAAATTAATCTGGCTAGATGTTGGAAGCTTCAAGATATATCTTTTCGACGATATCGAGTCAACGG